ATAGATTTTCATGTCATTAGATGTATGACGCAATGCCATGTTAGTAATGATACAAGATAACTTCATGAAATATTTCATGAAATATGTTTTATTAAAGTATTTACTAGTAAGGATATAGACTACATATATGGATATATTATTGTTACAAGGCATCTATAAGTCTTAAAGCATTAATCTTTCTTTATTTTATCAAATATCTTAACTTTAGTATTAAAAAAGGGTAAATATTTTTTCTAAGGTCTTAAACTTTGTGTTGTATATCTGCATGAGATTCCAATGTTCTTATAGTTAAGTAGAACTGAAACTACAGCTAAAACCATAAATTTCAGCTATTTGCCAAGACAGTGTTTTAATTGAGTTTAACTTGATGTACTGATATAACTAAAACTAAATTAAAACTGAAATAAAAATTAATTAAAAAAACATAGACACATACACACACACACACACACACACACACACATATATTTATATAAAAGACAAGAACACACAAAATAACTTTGACAAAAAAAAAAAAAAACAGAAAATCTGAAAATAACCCTGATTCAATATATGAATTAAAACTATAATAGTATCTCAATGATACTAAAATAACATGAACGTGACATATAAGGCAATTACATTGTGTTTCCCTGATGAACCTCACTAATTAATTACTATTTAATAAATAACCATTTTATTTTATTGTATTAAATACATTTTGCACAGTAAATTATAACAAATATCAAATAAGGTCTTAATTCTGTTAAACATGCAGCTATCATTGTGTGTTCAAAAATAAATAAATTACAAATAAAAATAAAGTGATAAATACATTTTACAACTCCTATTTTTATTTTTTTTCAAACATGAGAATGCCATTGCAATACAGAACACTTTGCCAACTATGTCTTATTTTTGCAACAAAGTGTGAGTATATACCAACCCACACTTCCTAAAAATAAGTTTTTAGTATAAGGTGACAAAATGTGTTTTCTCTTAGTTATCACTCGGCCCGTCTCTGCCTCAGACACACAGCCCACAGAACGTTCATTTGATATATATTGTATTGTACACAAAAGTAGCAAAAGCAGGCATACACAACATGCACATAAATACTGTTGTTGAAAAAAAAAAAAATTTGTGGTCTGTTGATCTTGAGAAGACATTGTAGGTCTTGCACCTGGAGCTCCATTCTGTTCCTAGAGAGAAAAATGTCTGCATTAACTTCATATATCATCTTAAGATGTAACTTGATGTGTAGCTTCAGGTTAAACAATCAAAAAGGCAGCTTTCTTTCTTGAAGGCATTTGAAGTGTCACTTTGTGATGGGTGAATTAAATTGTCAACATGAGTGTTGAACTGTAAGGTGTTACAAAGTGTAAAAAAAAAAAAGTGTATGATATATAAACTCATTTTAAAACCATAAAGCCACGGGCCATGTACTTCCTCCACTTTTTAATTTGCTGCTCACATCATTAATCTATGAGAAACAAGGATGCTGTGAATTAAAGTGCACCATTTGGCATGGGCATTACTTCTGCACTCGCTAAATAGAGATAATTGACATGAAGTGATGGATTGCACGTAACGTACTGAGATTCTGGATACCATCCAGTACTTTATTTGATAATGATGATATACATGTATATATTTCTACAAATTGATATGCATGCAGAGATAGAGGACTGTACAGTACTTACAATCCACAAATGTAATACAGATACTACCGGTCAAAAGTTTGAGCTCAGTATGAATTTTATTTATTTATTTAAAGGGGTCATATGATGCAATTTCATTTTTTCCTTTCTTACTTTTACTAGAAAAAAATATTTAAAAATGACTTTTAACTATAACTGTGTTATAATGGGGGCAATTTTAATGAGCTAGTTTATTAATCTCAAGCCTTCTCACAAAAATCCATTAAATAATGTAAAATGGCTGGATAAACCCTTCTGTTAAAGCACATCTGTTGTTCACACAGACTTGTGTGTGTGTGTGTGTGTTTATGAATATTGCTGCAATTCCCATTCCACCTCCAAAAGAGCTTCTCTAGTTAACAGCTTAGCCTAGTAGCTTAGCAGCTAAATTCACAAAATCCACAGGGGTGTTTGATTTCTGCATTTTCCTGCTAACAATGTATTTATTTGACTGTTCATGAAGTCTAAATACAGTGAACTAATTATGTCATTTCCTTCTTGTGAATTTTTTTTGTCAACAGACATTTTGCATTGCATTTTTCTAGCCTTGTACTGTACATGCCTGAATGGTTAATGAAAAGTTGTTCTCCACATAGACCATCAGTGCATGACTTTTCTGGTAATAAAAGGGGTAGTTTACTCAAAAATGAAAAGTCTGTCATCATTTATTCACTCTGTTTTGCTAAACACTCAGTCCAGGTGTAATCTGTCTTTTTTTCTATCTCAATGTATCTCTCTTTCACTCATTCCATATCACTCTCATCTCTGGCTCTCTGTAGCGCTCATCACATTCCCATGTGCAGGAGTTTCCTGTCTAACACTATCAGATCTCTTATCGGGACAAGAGGTGTTTTGCTAAATCTTCACCCTCGCCTGCCTCTCCTCAGTTGTTATATCTCTCTTAGTTTAGATTAAGTGATCCAGCGGCTTCCGTATCTCTGTTTTTGCCGCTTCTGCATTCTTATCCCTCACGGTCGCACTCATGATCAATGCTATCAGCTCTGTGTGGCAGTGATAAATTATGCATGCGCTCCAGTCAATGGCTGAGTTGTGGTTTGGTTGAGACACAGCGGTGATAGCGAGTCTTAATCAGCACCTAAAGTGTGAGAACTCTTAACGTCCACCCCGAGGGCCATGAAGAGCGGCGTGGCTCTTTAAGAATGACTTATGTGGGAGCCGAGGACTTCATGCTCCATCATGTTAAGATGTTGTGCATTGTGGGTTCGAATCTGAATCCCATTCTTCACTGTTCTTCATCATTTCCTGCCCTGTTTAAAATATTCTCAAAAAGTGTTGAAGTAATTAAAAATAACATATATACACTATAGTTCTGTACTAGGGGTGGTAGAAATTTGTCAACCGGTAGAGGTTCTGGACTGTCGTCTCTATCGCGGTTACTTGCTCACGTGACATTGCTGTGCTATCATTTGCATGAGTTTTTAAGCATCGCGGTTTAAAAACAAGTGATTTTAATCCATCTAAATGCAATCAGCAGCGAAAGAGAACTCATTTTGCTATATGCACACACTATCTGAGAGTTTCTGAGAGGCATGCGCACATGAAGACGGTGTTCAAAGAGCGCGAGAGTATTGAATTGGTTAAATACACGCGCTTGTATGTGTCAAAATGCCCCTTTTTGCAAGTATCCTCGTAAATACAGTAATTTAGGTCTTAAGTGAAAGCAAACAGCTGAGAAAGAGAACACGTGTAACAGTATATTGAGCCAGGCAGCTCTTAAAGTGACAGCAGTCTAATCTTCCTGCTGCCTGCCATTCATGTTAATCAAACAACAAAAGAGAGAAAATCTCTCACTGCTCTTGACTAAATCACTTTTGTGACTTTAAAGGGGTCATATGATGCGATTTAAATTTTTCCTTTCTCTTTTGAGTGTTACATAGAGGAGAAACAATAATGTACAGTATGTGGAAAATAATGTGTTTTTTTAACCTTAAACCGCATAAACACATTTCAGTACACCAAATACACAAAATAATGTTCTTTTTAGCAACATCATATGACCCCTTTAATAAGAAGACATATACATTTAATTTACACAGTAAATATGCAGTGTTTTTATACAGTTGATTACTTTATACAGTGTATGTAGCATTTCTTATTTATTTGTTCTACTGTAGTTTTTTGTCCTATTGCTTGTAATTATTTTCTTATTCTTATTTAATCGCTGACTGTTTACTTGTCTTGAGTTTTTTTTTTAGGCTAGTATTAATTTTTTCTGATATTATGAAATTATGAAATGTCTATGGTATCCAAAATTTTGATATCATAAAGACCTTATTTAAAGCAAAAATAACTATATTGTGTTAGGGATAGATAGATAGATATAGATATAGATATAGATATATAGATATATATAGTTACCGTGAAACAAAATTACTCATGTCGTGGTATAAGATTTTGGTCATATTGCCCACCCCTATTCTGTGCTATTGTTATCAATAATTTTCAGCACTAAATTAATTAAAAGCATATTTATAATTTAATATTTATATTTTGACAGAGCTCTGGTTTTGTCTTCCAGGTGCTTCAGTTGGTTTAGAGCACCTGTCAGTCACTTGCTTTTTTTCTTTCTTTGTTACTATTAAATTATTAAAAATGTAATAATTACATTTCTTTAATTATTAATTAATTAATTTATTCATTTATTTATTTGTTTGTTTTTAGAAAAAATATTCCAGATTTCTCCCCCCCCCCAGGTATATGACACAGCACTTTTTCAGTTAGTTACTCCAGCTTACCTTTTGGAAAATGTGTGTAAAAAATGTCAAGTATAGAGAATACAATATATAAATTGCACACCCTGGTAGAGTAATAAAAAAAATCTCTGAGGTTCTTTTAATCTCAGTCACTCTACAGTCGCAGTATATGGTCCTTTTCACAAAATTGGATAAAATGATTCATATACCACAATATTGATCAAATGTTTCAACATAGTGTCTCATGACAAGCTATTATTTCCTCAGCCTTGTGCTTCCATCTCAGTGATGTTTCCGTGATGAAAGAAATAATGACAAAATTGCCAACCGCTTTGGAAGAAGCATCATCAAAACATGCCTGTGGAGATCAGCGTAATATTTAAAATCAAATTACAGCTGAAAACACCAACTCCTCTTCCGATCTCATTTGTTTTTCTCTTGCTTGTTTATCTGTGTGTTTGTTGAGGTTATGTACTGTGTGAGTCTCTTAAAGGCCAGATTAGAACTGCATCACTTGCTAAGCGCTACATTGTATCTGGCGCACCTTTTTTCTTGGCATCTTGGGGCTCTAACCTTTTTTTTTTTTTTATCACTTTTGTCACTTTAGAAGCGAAGGAGATTGTCCTGAAAGCTCAGATTTTAGCGGGAGGAAGAGGCAAAGGAGTGTTCGACAGCGGCCTGAAAGGAGGGGTGCATTTAACAAAAGAGTGAGTACCTGCCTAGACCTATTTTCTGACAAAGAATAGATCCTGTTTTCCTGTCCTTCATTCCTCTTAAAACCCCTGTCATTCTTTGACACCCTGTATTTCTCACCAAGAAAATAGAGCAGAATATCACTCTACCCTCTCTAGCATTTGTGATGTCCTTAAAACTCAGTTGTAATGTGGAATGATGGATTCCTTAGCTTAACAAATTATAAGTGTTATAGAAACTATAAAAATGTTGTTAAAAAAACCCCCTTGAGAATGAGGGAGACGTTTGAAATATAGCAATCTCTGAAAACTTTACCAGAAAGCCATGAGTTTTCCTCAAGTAGGGGCTGATTTATGACTGAATGCCTGCGTCGTGTATCACTGTCATGTAGTGTACTTTGGCATTCGGGATGAAGAGAATCGGCCAGAGAAAACACTCTGAAACGCAGCCTGATCTGTTTTATCTAGCAAATGAGCACAGTGCTTTTTGTGGCCCTGAGAGATCCTCGAGAGTTCGCTAGTATGCATTTCTTAAACTAAAACTTCTTTTTTTTATGTTGTTCGTCTGTACCATTGTTATTTGTAGTACAATAAAAAGATGATGCAGAGAGAAGAGAGAGAGATACGTGATCAGCAAATTGAGCACTACAGCTCTTTATATTAGCACACATGCATTAACTGAATAAAATAATCACAGTTGCGAAAAATACATAATAGTCTGGGAAAACTTGTGTCCACATACAGTTTGATCAGATATCATCTTGCATCAGTGTTTCCTGCATGTAGGACTGGGCGATACTGCCAAAAAAATGAATGATACAATTTTTCATACGAGTTGATATCGGTAATTATCACGATAAATTTCAAATCTTTATTTTTTTCAAGTTTAAAGGCAGAATTTTTGCTCCAAAGTGAAAGTTGTAGAAACCAAACAATTAATTGTGGTTTTAAACTACTCTTTATGATCAGAACATGACAAGCACTTCATATTTTTGAATTCTTTACACTTTTCCAGTCATTTTTTTTCTTTAACAAAATAAATATCTTAATAGAAAAATTAATTTCTTAGTTTCTGCATGTTCTAATGGGTGATATTGTTTCAAATCAAGAAACAGGTTTGTTTTGCCTGACTTTGATGACATGTATTTTCAGCACAGTTTGCAGTACTAGCTGCAATATTAATAATATTACAAAAATATCTACAGTAGTAGTAGCTTGAGTAAGGATGCAGATGTAAATTTATGTTAATTGTCAAAAACAGTAACATCTGTAAAAATTAAACAACCTCATTTTTTAAAATTATTCTGACTATTTGAGTTTTATTAAAATTAACCATTGGTCTTCCACAGTAGTATACATTTAGATCATGATAACCACAGTTAAAAGCACACATATAACTGTACGGTTTCTAGGTATTTGTATGAAAAACAGTAGTCTAAGTACACAAAAATATCTATATTCCATTATTCCTTGAATATATTTTATACATGTCTACATTAATAATATAATAAAATTCTATATGAGTATTCCAGATTTTTGCCATAATACTATGGTGCAGTTAGTGTTACTACAGTAAATTCATGGTAAATGATGGTGATTTGTAGATTGAAAAGTTTTCTGACTTCATCGTGGAAGTGAATGTGACTGGGGGTCACATTACACAATATTTACCTTGGAAGAATTCCTGACAACTCTTTCATTTACAAAATGCATGCGCGAGGAATCATAAAGGAACTCTCGTAAAACTACAAATCCTCCCCCTGAAATGTCCCATGTTCCGTGGCTCTCTCTCATTGGCTGTAGGTCATCACCGATGTCATTTCCAGTCAAAACTCATCACAGACAGGTTCAGATATTTAGCTTGGGAAATATTTCTCAGGCATCAGTACCTGTCTCAGATGGTGTCTTTGATAATTCACACCATGTATCGTCAGTCATGTGTCTACTATCTCCAGAAAACTGTCAGCGAGTAAAGATCAGGCCTAAAGTCATGTAGTGTATACTATAATCATTCCTCTTTCATTCCTTTGAGCTCACAACTGACTCCCTCACTGAGCCGAGTCAATTTAAAATGAATTGAGATTGTTTACTGTGATGTATATTTTAGGTTTGTGAGACTGACAATAGTTTGTTACAGCTTAGTTGTTCGTATGACAGCTAAAGATATAGTAATTAAAGATACATATTTACAACAGAGTTTTGATGTATAAATTAATAGCATTCTATAATTAATAATGTTATTCTAAAAAATAAAACATTTCAGAAACTCTATACAAAAATCATGATTCAACTGGATCAACTGTAAGCAAGTCTAAGTTTGAGATACATACATACATACATTCATATATATATATATATATATATATATATCACAATAAATGAAAAGTATAAAAATGTCTCTCTTTCAGTCCTGCTGTTGTTGGAGAGTTGGCCGGTAAGATGCTCGGCTTCAGTCTGACCACCAAACAGACCCCTAAGGAAGGAGTGAAAGTGAAAACGGTATTAAAAAAAGCACTTTGTTTATCTCTGGCATATTATATCTTTTTTAATGTTGTTCCTTTGAATAAATAATCGCTTTTGCACTTGGAAATGAAATTCTCTCTCTCTCTCTCTCTCCATTCTCCTTGTCTTCCTGGCTGCAGGAGAAAGCTGTATAATACCATTTAAAGATGCACTTTTTTTTCCTTTCTGTCATTTTTTAAAGAAATATTCTTTTGCTGTTAGCTGAGTTAGGCGTTGTAAGTAATTGAGATGAATAAACCGTGTGAGTCAGACCTCGTTGTGCAGGGAATGTTGGTAAACAGCCATTTCCATGTGTCACTAACAAGCAGAAATATCATTTTCCTCCCTCTTTCTCTGCTTCTCTCTATGTCTGACACCCACACAGACCGGCATTCTCCTACAACCACCCCGTATGTTTATCACTGTTTATCTCTCTCCCCCTCAGGAGGTAATGATGGCTTCCTGCACTTACCACGTGTTTGTCCTCTCATCTTTAAACGTGGCCTAGAGCTCCCCATTATCATCCGCTTTTATTCCCGCCAGCTCCCCCTCACGCGACCGCCCCAAAACTTTTTGCACAATGACGGCATCCCATTTTTGTCGTTTTCCTGCCCGAGAAACAGCCACGGGGGGTGGAAGTGCATATTCATAAAGGTTTCATAAAGGGAGGTGGTGAGGAGGAACAGAGGTGGGATATAAGCGAAAATAAATAAATGCTTTAGAAATGCCAGCTCGAGCGTGAGCATCTCCCCACAAACTTCTCTCGCTGCATTTGAGAGAGTGTCACATTTGCTATTCAAGAGCCCTCTGGTTTCCTTCGCACATGGATGCATTATTGCATAATGAGGTTTTCCTCATGAATTCAGAATACAGTATCGGTTTATTGAGAGGAAAAAAGAAAAGTATGTTTTGTAAAATTGTGTCCTCCTTTAAGCCTTCAGAAGATGTTGTCATACTTCACAGCAGCGATTGGGACCTGGATATAGGATTCATATAATATATGAGCAAAAATTGGTCATGTGAAAAAAAATTATTATATGTGACCCTGGACCACAAAACCAGTCATAAGGGTAAAATTTTTTTGAAATTGAGATGTATACATCATCTGAAAGCTGAATAAATAATATTTATATATAATATAAAAGCCGAGATACAACTATTTGAAACTATTTGCAAAAAAATCTAAATACTGAGAAAATCACCTTTAAAGTTGTCCAAATGAAGTTCTCAGCAATGCATATTACTAATCAAAAATGAAGTTTTGATATATTTACGGTAAGAAATGTATAAAATATCTTCATGGAACATGATCTTTACTTAATATCCTAATGATTTTTGCCATAAAAGAAAAATCGATAATTTTGACCCATACAATGTTTTTTTGGCTATTGCTAAAAATATACCCAAGTGACTTAAGACTGGTTTTGTGGTCCAGGGTCACATATAGAATGATGCTGAAAATTCAGCTTTACCACCACAGAAATAAATGACATTTTAAAATAAATATAAAAAATAAAATAACTGTACAATATAACAGTTTTCACTTTATTTTGTGGCAAATAAATTCATCCTTAGTGAACATAAGAGACAGCCTTCAAAAACATTATAAAATCTTACTAACTCTTAACTTTTGAATGGTAGGGTGTGTATAAATAATTGTTTTGTTGTTGCTGTTTTTTACTTTTTATATATGTAGGTCAATGGCTGATGGCTGTTTGGTTGAAATAAATTCATAAATCTGTATTGAATAGATTTTATTTTGTACTCCTTTTAGCTCTCAGCACTAGAGGGGATTGAATATGGATGATGGTTTGAATATGAGCGGTGTTAAAAGGATGTAATTGTGTTGTCAGTCTCAGAGAGGAATGCTGCTTGTGAGCTGTCAGTGTGCCGTCAGGACTCTGCGTTAATGTGCCGTTTTTCACCCAGCTATGTTAGCACAGTCTTGTCTTGTTGGCCTTCTCTCTTTCTTTTCTGCTGTAATAGACTATGAAGTGAGGAAATAGAGTAAAGGATAAAATAGATGGAAGGACAGTGCAGGAAATAGAATGAACAGGGGTGCAAACGTTTGGCTTTCTTGTTGCCTCCTTCACAAGATGAAAGGGATAAAAATGGACTCGGGTGCTGGAGATTGGAGTGTAGGTGAGACCAGGGCAATTGTAACACTCTAAATTTCTTCAGTCTTATAAAAGTAAGAGTCATGACACTTATTTAACACATGCTCAGTAGCGTTCTTTTCCTTCCTGAGTGTGATTCCCCCTTTTGGTGTGAAATGTTCAACTTTTGATGATAAGTTTACACTAACACTTAATGACAAGTTTTGATGATAATTTTATTTTCTAGTTTGTTGATTAAATGTTAACATGAATGACAGATATGAATGACACCTCAGATTCATGTAGACTGTTACTAATTGAAAACTCTATCCATCCGTCCGTCCATCCATGTCTATAGTACATCTACACTGTAAAAAAAAAATCTGTAAAATTTACGCTGTGGTTGCCGGAATTTTACCATAAAAAATACGGTAGCAACATTTTAGGTTTTACGGTTTTATCTTAAATTTACAGTTAAATACCGTAATTTCATTAACTGATATAATGTTAATATACCAACCTATTGAAGTACTGAAATCTGTTTTGTACCTTTGTAATACACTGATAACCACCAAATGCAGGTGGTGTTGAGAAAGTCACATGATGAACCAAAGCCCATCACAAGCAGCTTTTAAATAATAACATATATAGAAGGTGCACAGTGTCATTCACACAAACACCAAACACCATCATGGTAACACACATGAAACTGAAATAATTCAATAAACATTCATTTAACAACATTAGGTGTAACACACAACCCTAATATTCAAAACTGATAAGAAAAAACTAAGAAGAAACAGTTATTTCAACAAAAAAACATAAAATTTGAAATGTAACGCAGGGAATTCTGGGAATGTCAATTTACGGTTATTCACTGTAAATTATACGGTCTTTTTCCACTTCCAAAAACGGTATACTACCGTAAAATTAATGTCCAATACATGTAATGTCCAATACAGTTTTTCACCGTATATAGTAGGGGAATTTACCGTTAACCATTTAACAGGTTTTTACTGTAGCATTTTTACAGTCTTTTACCGTTAAATTCACGGTCATTTTTTACAGTGTATATTTGTGTGTGTGTGTGTGTGTATATATATGGGATGTGCATTGTAATATCAGATTACTTTTCTTAGGGACTTAATCATTATTATTCTAGCTCAGGTTTTGAACGGAATCGAATCTGAAATTCGAAGTCAACCTGATTAGAACTGATTTCCAATTTGATAGTTTACACTTTATCAACGGTCGTCCAGCGAGACGTTAACCTCAGTATATTTTAACAATTTGAATATTTGTATTTTCCCTGGCCACGGGCTAATATGTGCTTTGATAAGTTATAGGCTATGAGCTTGGTAACAAGATCTCGTTAAACGGTCATGGGGTCCAGGAGTGTTTGTCGCTGGAACATTTCCAGATACCAGGTTCTTTGTTCTGTTGGTTATTAGATAGTTTATTTATGCTGAAGCCAGTCACGAGACAACACTGACGTTCTGTTGCTTAAATGAGTCCAGATGCAGAGGTCAGT